AATTTAGGTTGGATAAATACATGAGTGGGAAGGGTTGGATTTGAGAGGGACTTGCACATCAGAGCTTATTTCTTGGGTAGCATTGAAAATTGGGTTGGTCAAATGTTTGTTAGTGGGATGAATTCTAAAGGACCTGCCTAGTATGGGCCAACAGGCCTGCTGCAGTGTTCCTCCTTTCTTATGTTCTTATGTTCTTAAAGTATTTTCTTTTTGGGGATTTTCTTTCTTTTTTGGGTCACCCTGCCTCGGTGGGAGACGGCCGACTTGTTGAAAAAAAAAATATATATATATATACATACATGTATATATATCTTTCTTTCAACACAAACCCGGCCGTATCCCACCGAGGCGGGTGGACCAAAAGGAAAAACGAAAGTTTCTTCTTTTACATTTAGTAATATATACAGGAGAAGAGGTTACTAGCCCTTGCTCCTGGCATTTTAGTCGCCTCTTACAACACGCATGGCTTATGGAGGAAGAATTCTGTACCACTTCCCCATGGAGGAAAGAGGCAAAAAAAAGAACTAAAAAGAAAACCCAGGGGGGTGTTACTATACGCTTGTACATTTTGTGTAGGTGATAAGTGTAAGTGAAGTAGAAGAGTCCCTGAAATCTTGCGTTTATGAGACAAAAAAATGGACACCAGAAACCCTTTCACATGTAAAACAATTACAGGCTTTCGTTTTCCTCTTGGGCAGGCGGTTTTACCTCCTGGGGGTTGCGTTACCAACCTATACCTAGGATTATTTATATTATTTTTTTTACAGTGGACCCCCGGTTTAAACGATATTTTTTCACTATGAAGTATGTTAGGTCCAGTACCCACCGAATTTGTTCCAAAAGGTATTTTGAAGTAGTTAGTCCATTTTTGACCCCCCAAACATACACGTACAAATGCACTTACATAAAACACTTTCATAATTGGTCGTTCGGAGGTGACGTTATGCGGGGGTCCCCTGTTTTTTAAAATTTTATATATATATATATATATATATATATATATATATATATGTCGTGCCGAATATGTAAAACTGGTCAATTGCAAGAACATTTAAAGTTTAATCCTTTTTGAAAAATTTTTTCTTTTACGTTTTTAAAAAATATTTTTTTTTTTTTATTTTAAAGTTGATGTAAAATTTAAATTTTGCCCAAAAGGGAAATTTGAAAAACTTACCTAAACCCTTTTTATAACAAAAACAAAATTTATTTTAGCCTAACCTAACTAAAAAAAATTTAGAATTGTTTACAGTAATTTAATACTAAACAAACACGTGAAATATTTTTTTCGTTAGGTTCAGAATGATTTTGGCAAAATTATTGCACACACAAATTTTCACTTGTCCTATATGGCAGAGGAGGTTTGTTTTTAAAGCCAAGATTGCAAGTTCTGCCTATTCGGCACAATTATATTAAATATAAAATATATAATATATATATATAAAAAAAAAATATATATATATATATATTTTTTTTTTTTTTTTTTTTTCAAACAAGTCACCCGGGTCCCCCACTGAGGCAGGGTGCCCCAAAAAAGAAAGAAAATCCCCAAAAAAAAATTTACTTCCATCATCATTCAACACTTTCACCCACTCGCACATTATCACTGTTTTTGCAGAGGTGCTCAGAATACAACAGTCTAGAAGCATACACTATAAAGATACACGACATATCCCTCCAAAATGCCAATATCCCAAACCCCTCCTTTAAAGTGCAGGCATTGAAACTTCCCATTTCCGGGACTCAAGTCCGACTATATGAAAATAACCGGTTTCCTGAATCCCTTCACTAAATATTACCCTGCTACACCCCCAACAGATCGTCAGGTCCCAAGTATCATTCGTCTCCATTCACTCCTATCTAACACGCTCACGCCGCTTGCTGGAAGTCCAACCCCCTTGCCCAAAAAACCCTCCTTTACCCCCCTTCTAAACCTTTTGAGGACGATCCCTACCCCGCCTTCCTTCCCCTATAGATTTATATGCTTTCCATGTCATTCTACTTTGATCCATTCTCTCTAAATGACCAAACCACGTCAACAACCCCTCTTCTGCCCTCTGACTAATACTTTTATTAACTCCACACCTTTTCCCTTCTTTGCCTCCATAGATAACGTTTTTTGACTCCACATATACCTTAACGCACCACTCACCTTTTTTCCCTCATCAATTCTATGATTAACCTCATCCTTCATAAATCCATCCGCCGACACGTCAACTCCCAAGTATCTGAAAACATTCACTTCTTTCCATACTACTCCTCCCCAATTTGATATCCAATTTTTCTTTATCTAAATCATTTGACACCCTCATCACCTTACTCTTTTCTATGTTCACTTTCAACTTTCTACCTTTACACACATTCCCAAACTCATCCACTAACCTTTGCAATTTTTCTTTAGAATCTCCCATAAGCATAGTATCATCAGCAAAAAGTAACTGTGTCAATTCCCATTTGAATTTGATTCCCAAAATTTAATCCCACCCCTCTCCCGAACACCCTAGCATTTACTTCCTTTACAACCCCATCTATAAATATATTAAACAACATGGTGACATTACACATCCCTGTCTAAGACCTACTTTTACGGAAGTAGTCTCCCTCTCTTCTACACACCCTAACCTGAGCCTCACTATCCTCATAAAAACTCTTTACAGCAATTAATAAACTTACCACCTATTCCATATACTTGCAACATCTGCCACATTGCTCCTCTATCCACTCTATCATATGCCTTTTCTAAATCCATAAATGCAATAAAAACTTCCCTACCTTTATCTAAATACTGTTCACATATATGCTTCAATGTAAACACTTGATCTACACACCCCTACCCACTCTGAAACCTCCTTGCTCATCCGCAATCCTACATTCTGTCTTACCTCTAATTCTTTCAATTATAACCCTAGGTACACTTTCCTGGTATACTCAGTAAGCTTATTCCTCTATAATTTTTACAGTCTTTTGTCCCCTTTCCCTTTATATAAAGGGACTATACATGCTCTCCGCCAATCCCTAAGTACCTTCCCCTCTTCATACATTTATTAAAACAAAGTACCAACACTCCAACACTATATTCCCCCCTGCTTTTAACATTTCTGTCATGATCCATCAGTTCCAGCTGCTTTACCCCCTTTCATTTTACGTAATGCCTCACGTACCTCCCCCACACTTACATTCTGCTCTTCTTCACTCCTAAAAGATGCTATACCTCCCTTACCAGTGCATGAAATTACCGCCTCCCTTTTCTTCCTCAACATTTAAAAGTTCCTCAAAATATTCTCGCCATGTACCTAATACCTCCCTCTCCCCATCTACTAACTCCCCTACTCTGTTTTTAACTGACAAATCCATACTTTCCCTAGGCTTTCTTAACTTGTTTAACTCACTCCAAAATTTTTTCTTATTTCATTAAATTTCTTGACAGTGCCTCTCCCACTCTATCACCTGCTCTCCTTTTGCACTCTCTCACCACTCTCTTCACCTTTCTTTTACTCCATATACTCTGCTCTTCTTATAACACTTCTGCTTTGTAAAAACCTCTCATAAGCTACCTTTTTCTCTTTTATCACACCTTTACTTCATCATTCCACCAATCACTCCTCTTTCCTCCTGCCCCCACCCTCTATAACCACAAACTTCTGCCCACATTCTAATACTGCATTTTTAAAACTATTCCAACCTCTTCAAGCCCCCCACTACTCATCTTTGCACTAGCCCACCTTTCTGCCAATAGTCGCTTATATCTCGCCTGAACTTCCTCCTCCCTTAGTTTATACACTTTCACCTCCCTCTTACTTGTTGTTGCCACCTTCCTCTTTTCCCATCTACCTCTTACTCTAACTGTAGCTACAACTAAATAATGATCCGATATATCAGTTGCCCCTCTATAAACATGTACATCCTGGAGCCTACCCATCAACCTTTTATCCACCAATACATAATCTAACAAACTACTTTCATTACGTGCTACATCATACCTTGTACAGTGGACCCCCGGTTAACGATATTTTTTCACTCCAGAAGTATGTTCAGGTGCCAGTACTGACCGAATTTGTTCCCATAAGGAATATTGTGAAGTAGATTAGTCCATTTCAGACCCCCAAACATACACGTACAAACGCACTTACATAAATACACTTACATAATTGGTCGCATTCGGAGGTGATCGTTATGCGGGGGTCCACTGTATATTTATTTATCCTCTTTTTCATAAAATATGTATTACTTATTACCAAATTTCTTTCTACACATAGCTCAATTAAAGGCTCCCCATTTACATTTACCCCTGGCACCCCAAATTTACAAATGTAGGCACAAAAGAAAGCCACTAATTATGCAATGCATCTCAGACAACCTAATCATAAGGCTTACATACTACTTAAATCTAGATCTAGTACAGTGGACCCCTGGTTAACGATATTTTTTCATTCCAGAAGTATTTTCAGGTGCCAGTACAGACCGAATTTGTTCCCATAAGGAATATTGTGAAGTAGATTAGTCCATTTCAGACCCCCAAACATACACGTACAAACGCACTTACATAAATACACTTACATAATTGGTCGCATTGGGAGGTGATCGTTAAGCGGGGGTCCACTGTATAATATTTAAGACATTGAGTACGTATCAATACAGCTTGTGTAATTTGTTACAATCACAAGTACTAGGAGACAGGTTGCAAAATACTAATAGGTCAATTACAAATAAATTTTATAGCATTTACATCAGTTCTATGAATTTAGGTTCTATGAATTTAGGTGTTGAAACCAAAGTATGAGAATTTACACAGTTAATAGTTGCAACATATATGTGAGATTTAAAAGGTGCCTTTTAACAGTGTTATTAAAGATGTTGGTAAGTGGGGAAGTTTTGTTATTTTTCAGGTGGCTCATATCTCAAGTAGTAGCACCTTGGTTATTCTTTCATGAATAATTCACCTCACTGGGTAAATGACCTGAAAACTTTTTTGATGCAAGGTTAAAACATTTGTTTTTCTTCAGGTAAAAACTCATTTACAATCTCAGGCAGCTGAGTCTATTGCTGTTGGTCACCAGCACAAGCATCAAGGTAAGTGACATCACCTTGTTCCAATTGAACTGTCAACTCTGTTGCAATGTTCACCATTTCCTCTTTGAGAATTAAAATCTCACATTGTTATTATTTTCATTTTATAAAGTTACTCACACATTTCAGCTTTTCATATTTGTTATCAAGATGATGTCACGTTTTTTGACATTTCAAAATTTTTTTAAATATTTTCGCATTTATTATATTTAAATGTAGGTACAGTTCTTTATTAAATATATTTAATTTTAAACAAGTATGTACTGTACAATACTGTACTGTATGCCAGTTCAGTATTTTTATTTGACATACGTACAAATACTGTAGCCAACACAAACAGTAGAAGTGGTTTGATTACCATTGTAGTACATTATTATTATATAATACAGTGGACCCCCGCATAACGATTACCTCCGAATGCGACCAATTATGTAAGTGTATTTATGTAAGTGCATTTGTACATGTATGTTTGGGGGTCTGAAATGGACTAATCTACTTCACAATATTCCTTATGGGAATAAATTCGGTCAGTACTGGCACCTGAACATACTTATGGAGTGAAAAAATATCGTTAACCGGGGGTCCACTGTATACATATTTTTTTTAACACATAGGCCATCTCCCACTAAGTGCGAGGTATACAGGCCTAGCTGACATCAGTGATATACTACTCTATAGAAAGCCCCTTATTATGCAGAGCATTTTGGGCAAATTAGGTCAGATTTGTCCCAGGATGTGACCCCACACCAGGACTACAAAGAGACCTAGACAGGCTGGACACATAGTCCAGCAACTGGCTCCTTGAACTTAACCCCGCCAAATGCAAAGTCATGAAGATTGGGGAAGGGCAAAGAAGACTGCAGACAGAGTACAGTATAGGCTAGGAGGCCAAAGACTGCAAACCTCACTCAAGGAGAAAGATCTTGGGGTGAGTGTGATACTGAACATGTCTCCAGAAGCACACATCAACCAGATAACTGCTGCAGCACATGGGCGCCTGGCAAACCTGAGAATAGCATTCCGACACCTCAGTAAGGAATTGTTCAAGACTCTGTACAATGTACGTCAGGCCCATACTGGAGTATGCAGCACCATTTTGGAACCCACACCTGGTCAGGCACGTCAAGAAATTACAGAAAGTGCAAAAGTTTGCAACAAGGCTAGTTCCAGAGCTAAGGGGAATGTCCTACGAAGAAAGGTTAAGGGAAATCGGCTTGAAGACACTGGAGGACAGGAGGGTTAGGGGAGACATGATAATGACATACAGAATACTGTAAGGAATAGATTATTATTATAATAAAAAAGAAGCACTAAACCTACAAGGCTCATACAGCACCGACAAGGAATAGATAAGGTGGATAGAGACAGGATGTTCCAGAGAGGGGACACAAAAACAAGGGGTCACAATTGGAAGTTGAAGACTCAGATGAATCAAAGGGATGTTAGGAAGTATTTCAGTCATAGAGTTGAATAGTCTGGCAAGTGATGTCATGGAGGCAGGAACCATACATATACCTGGAGTATACCTGGAGAGAGTTCTGGGGGTCAATGCCCCCATGGCCCGGTCTGTGACCAGGCCTCATGGTGGATCAGGGCCTGATCAACCAGGCTGTTACTGCTGGCCGCACGTAATCCAACGGACAAACCACAGCCCGGATGGTCAGGTACTGATTTTAGGTGCCTGTCCAGTGCCTGCTTGAAGACAGCCAGGGGTCTATTGGTGATCCCCCTGATGTAAGCTGGGAGGCAGTTGAACAGTCTTGGGCCCTGACACTTATTGTGTTGTCTCTTATCGTGCTAGTGGCACCTCTGCTTTTCGCTGGGGGGATGTTGCACCATCTGCCAAGTCTTTTGCTTTGGTAGGGAGTGATTTTCATGTGCAAGTTTGGTACTAATCCCTCTAGGATTTTCCAGGTGTATATGTGATAATCATGTATCTCTCCCTTTTAAGACGAGGTATGATAAAGCTCATGGAGCAGGGAGAGAGAAGACCTAGTAGTGACCAGTGAAGAGACAGGGCCAGAAGCTGAATCTCGACCCCTGCAACCACAATTAGGTGAGTACACCAGTCGACTAACACCCAGGTTCCCATTTTACTGATGGATGAACATGGACAACATGTGTAAGGAAACATACCCAGTGTTTCCACCCTTGCTGGGAATCGAACCCAGACACTCACCATGTGAAGCAAGAGCTTTGCCTACCAGGCCAAGAACCACCTTGTATGAGGGAGTCCGAGGTGCTATCGAAAAGTTCCTTTATTTTTTCGCTCTACCCAGGTGAAATATGGCAGCAGCATAGATCACACTGTGCAGAACACACCTCTTTTATGTGGTGAGTTTCAGTGTGGTCGGTCATTCATTTGAGGTTAGACAATCATTTTCTGTCATGTCAGTGTGTTATTGTGATTTTATGTTTAACAGAATGGAATCTTTATAAAACAGAGAACAGCATATGTATGTGTGAAATTCTGCTTCAAGCTCAGTAAAGCAACCAGTGAAACACAAAATATGTCAGCAAGCATTTAGAGATGAAACACTGGGTTGGATAAAGTGCTTTATATAGCTTTCTCAATTTAAAGCAAGATGAACATTAGTTGAGGATGATGAGTGCTCTGGTCATCCATCAGCATCAAAAACTGATGCCAGCATTGAGAAAATGAGGAGGGCTATCTACAAAGATTATCACCAGAATATCCAGGACATTACAAGTGCTGTGGGAATTTCTTATGGGTCATGTTAAAGCATTTTGACTGAAATTTTGAATATGAGAAGAGTGGCTGCAAAATTTGTACTCCACTTACCAACTCAAAACCAAAAGACCATGTTTTTCTGGCCATAAACAATATGACAGTCATCAACCACTCCCCCTACTTCCCAGATCAAGCCCCCTGTGACTTCTATCTCTTATCAAAAATAAAAATGACACTCAAGGGGCAACATTTTAATGACATGGAGGTGATTCAAACAGAATCACAGGCACAGTTAGGAAAGAAGAATTTCAGAATTATTTTGAGAAATGGCAGAGGCAATGGAATCAGTATATAGCCTTCCAGGGAGAGTACTTCATGGGAGACAAGCTGCAGTGCGATTGATTACCAACTCCTGCACTAGACAACACACTCCACCACTTTTTAAGAGCCTTAACTTACTTAATATACAAAACATCTACACTTATTATTGTGCCTACTACACACACAGAACATTATACTCAGATATTAACCCTCCTCTCAAATTCTTCCTTGTTAACTACAACAGAACACACAGGCATAACACAAGGCACAAATCACTCTTCGATATCCCTCGTGTCCATCTCTCCCTATGCAAAAATGCTATGCATTGCCAGAACACACTACAAATCAATTTAAGGCCCTACTTAGAAATTACTTCATCACCCAAAATTAACCAGACAAACACTTTACTTAACACCTACCAGTTACTCAAAAAAAACTCCTAAATAATTGATGATTGCTCAGCTATTTGATCATTTACTTCAAACTTAAAACTGCTTCAATTTCATTATTGTATATTGTGCTTGATGATTGCTCAATTATTTGCTCATTACTTCAAACTTATAATTGTTTCAAGTTCATTGTTTTAAATTGTGCTAAATTGTAATACTTCATATTGTAAATTGTGTTTGATGATCGCTCAACTATTTAGTCATTACTTCAAACTTAAAATTATTTCAGCTTCATTGTTTTAACCCTTTCAGTGTTGGTCCTGTAATATTACGGCTTGAGAGCCAATGTCAGTCCCATAATACAATGCCAAAATTCTAGCTCCTTCAGATCTGGTGGAAGAAAGCTGGTAGGCCTACATATGAAAAAATGGGGCTGCATGGTCAGTGTGCACAGTATAAAAAAATCCTGCAGTACGCAGTGCATGAGAAAAAAAACTCCGACCGTGTTTTTGGTTTAAAACTACGACTTTGCGGTGTATTTTCGTATAGTATTTATGGTTGCATTCTTGTTTTCTTGGTCTCCTTTGATAGAATGAAAGATACATTACAGAAATTAAAATAATTTTGATTGGTTTCATGATGAAAAGTACCTTGAAATTGAGCTTATGTTCGATTTTTGCCCATGTTCAAGAGTAAACTACTGGCCAGTCTAATATGCAGTCACGAATGGGTTGAAATTATTTATACAATTATTATAATGCAGTAGTCTGCATAACAGTAATTCTTCTATTTTTTGTAAGAATAAAAATTCAAAATGGAAAGCAAGAGTATATAAGAGGGGCCTGGAGATGTGACTAATGAGCAGAGAAAATATTATTTTAGTGCCAGGAATGTCTACCTTGTTTATTCTGGACCCTATTTTGAAATTTTGTGAAATTGGCCAAATTGCCAATTTCTGACCACTTTATTGGGTAGTTGAAATCGGTAAATGGGCAGTTTCTTGTACTCAGTCGATAGAACAAATGGAGTTCTAGCGAAATAGCTATGATTTTAACTGACTGGAACAATGGAATTGGCCGAAAATAGGGCTGAAAGTGGGCGAAATCGCTGATGCGTAAATATAGCCGAGATTGCTAACTTTGCGAGAGTATAATTTCATAAGTTTTCCATCAAATTTTGTACTTTTGGTGTCATTACCATCAGGGAAAGATTATCATTTCATAAGATTTTTTTTTTTTTTTTTTTTTCAACACAGCACATTAAGAGACCATACAATAAGTGTCAGGGGCCCGAGACTGTTCAACTGCCTCCCAGCATACATAAGGGGGATTACCAACAGACCCCTGGCAGTCTTCAAGCTGGCACTGGACAAGCACCTAAAGTCGGTTCCTGACCAGCCGGGCTGTGGCTCGTACGTTGGTTTGCGTGCAGCCAGCAGTAACAGCCTGGTTGATCAGGCTCTGATCCACCAGGAGGCCTGGTCACAGACCGGGCCGTGGGGGCGTTGACCCCCGGAACTCTCTCCAGGTAAACTCCAGGTAAACAGAGTTAAGGATCAGGGGTCTTGACACTGAAAGGATTAAATTTTACTAAATTGTAATATGTACTCTATTTTTTAATATTCTATATCAGAACTGTAATTCTTTTCTACCAAACTTACTAAAGCCATATAGCATGAACTAGTTGAATATTCAGTTTTCTTGTATTCACTGTTACTCATCTAATGACCATATGTAAAATTACAGCACTGTTATTGCCTTATTAATCTTAAGTTAGTCTTAAGCTAGCCCGAAATGCTCTGCATATAAAGGGGCTTTTGGCATGTTCACCAACTTGTTACACTCCTTTGTATAAACATGTATCTTGCTAAAATAAACTTGTAATTGAATTGTTATTTAGGTGATTAGGTAAACCTAGATATTCTTTTGTGGTAGTCCAGGAACTTTTTGATAGCACTTTGTATATTTCAGCCATAAGTCATCTTTGGTGCTTTAATTCAAAGGATCTACTTTTTAATTTAGAATTTTTGAATCAAAAGATCTTAACTACATAATGGCCAAAAAGTACAGCCATTTAGTTGTATCATCTATGTATGGCAATTTTATTTAGAAAATCTTTTAGTGTGATTATTACATAGACCATTTATAATTTATTCATAGGTTTCATGCCTGCCTTGTGGGGTATTGCAAAGAAAGAGGGCATCAGGGGCCTCTGGCGAGGGGCAGTATCTTCAATACCACGAGTTGGCGTTGGATCAGCATCACAGTTGTTTACCTATTCCAAGAGTAAAGACTGGTTGGAACAGTATGGGGTATGTTTTCCAATCATCATTGTTTTATTGTACAGTGGAACCCAGGTTTTTGTCTTTAATTTGTTCCAGAAGGTCAGCTGAAAACCGATATGTATGAAAATTGAAGTAATATTTCCCATAAGAAATAATGTAAATCCAATTAATTTGTTCCAGACACCCAAAAATATTAACAAAAAATGCATTTTGTAGAGAATAACTATAGTTTTACATACAGAAAACAATGAGAAATAAATATAAAGCACTCATAATATGGATAAATGAATATTTAAATCACTTTTACCTTTATTGAAGACTTGTTGGCATATGGAAGATGACGAGGAGGGGAGAGGGAGGAGAGGTTAACTCTACCACCATCACTACCACCCTCTACCACAATCACTGCTACCCTCTACCACAGTCACTACCACTCTCTACCACCATCACAACCACTGCCACCCTCTACCACCATCACTACCCCATCACAACCACTACCACCCTCTACCACCATCACTACCATCTTCTACCACCATTACAACCTCTACCACCATCACTACCATCCTCTGCCACCATCACTACCACCCTTTACCACCATTACTTCCACCCTCTGCCACCATCACAACTACTACCACCCTCTTCCACCATCACTACCACATCACAACTACTACTACCCTCTACCACCATCACTACCACTCTCTGCCACCATCACTGCCACCCTCTACCATCACTACCACCCTCTACCATCACTACCACCCTCTACCATCACTACCACCCTCTACCACCATCATTACCACTCTCTACCACTATCACTACCACCCTCTACCGCTATCACTACCACCCTCTACCACCATCACCACCAACCTCTACCACCATCACTACCACCCCCTACCACCATCACTGCTACCCTCTACCACCATCACTACCACCTTCTACGAGTAACAAAGGAAGACTGAGTCACGAACATATGAGTGGCCGCGTCCCACGGGCAGGTGGATGCGCATGGTACTGACGATTTCCGAGTGGATGTACGAAAACGGGGAAAATTTCGCAGAAAAAATGGTCAAAAACTGAATTGTACGATAACTGGACCTGACGAAAACCGGGGTTCCACTGTAGTACTGTACAGTATATTTAACATTTGGAAGCTTTTGTTTGTTCTATTAACAAATATATATTACAAACAACCAAATTTGCATGGCAGGTCATTTCACTCATCTGTAACTTCTACTACTACTACTACTGTTTTTTTCTATATTAAGGGTAAGTTTATTTTTCATCATCATTAACTACAGTGTTTAATGTCAGGGGGTCAGAACATGAGAAGATACAGGTTATATCAACATCAAAGAGTACTAACTTAAGATGCTGGGTGACATTTTGTAAGCCATTTATGTTGAGGAGGAAGAATAGAGGGGCCTAGAATGCTACATTAGGGGAACAACCAATTTGACTACACAGGCATTTTACAGTGCAAAACCAGTTAGCCGGACTTGAGTCCTAGATATAGGAAATACAATGCCTGCACTCTAAAGGAGGGGTTTAGGATATTTGCTGTTTGGAGTGATATTTGAACTCTCATATATGCATGCCTCTGCAAAGACAGTGATTATGTGTGAATGATGGTGAAAGTGTTTTTTTTTTTTTTTTTTTTGGGGGGGGGGGCACCCTGCCTTGGTGGAAGATGGCCAGTGTTAAAAAAAAAAATGGCTTTCTTTAGTGCCTAACAATATTTTATTATGTACATGTAAACCACATTATTGGTGTGCTGCATAAAAGAAATAAAAATTTAAATTTGAATATCAGAGGAGCACTGCAAAAAACAATAGCTACATTACATACCTGTTTCTACTCAAATAAATTGTGTTTCTCACAATACACAAAAAATGTTTTATTTACGTGTAACACTTTCTGCTGCGTGTAACCATTATATTAATTACGAAAATAAAATGTTTTAAGATTTGTGAGGAAGAAATTTAATGTTGTTTGGAGCAACTTTTCCTGTGACTAATGGACCATCCGTAATGAGGGTTGAACAGTTGTGTACTTACCTATATGTTGTTGTAGGGGTTGAGCCACACCTCCTGATCCTGTGTATATGTGTGCATGCATGCACACATGCAAGCACACATGCACGCACGCACACACACAGGAGCTGTGAATTGACCCCTGCAACCACTTATAGGTGAGTACACAACTGTTGAACCCTCATTATGGATGGTTCATCAGTTGCAGGAGCAGTTGCTCCAAACAGCATTAAATTTCATCCTCACTAATCTTAAAACATTTTATTTTCATAATTAATATAATGGTTACATACAGCAGCAAGTGTTGTGTGTAGCTGCATTAACTCCCTAAAGTGGTTGAAGTGTGTCAGCAAGGCATGGCTTATTGACCAAGACTGGAGAGTGTTTAGTGAGAATTCATTGATGGCTTGTTCAATTGGGTCTTCATTGTTCCTAAAATAATCTTTTGGAGCAGTGATAGATTCTTGCTTCACTTTTTTATTTATCCATTTTCTTTTATCTCTGCTGCTTTGAACGTATTGGTCCATGAGGTGCTTTTCCCCACTTTCTATACAAGTAAATGCATCTTACCCATAGGATGCTGGAATGGTCATTTCTGTTTGAGTTGATTTCTATTTGAGTAATATGGCATTTTTTCACTCGCTTGTTCATGGCAGTATTGTGGCTAGAGGGAGAGAAGGTAAGGAAAAAGATTACTTTACTCTCCTGATCTTATGTATCTTGTGGAGAAAATTCTCCAGTAAAGGGGATATCTCAGCTCCCCTCAGCCCTCTGAGGGGCTTAGCCCTCCCGGAAGGGACTAGTGGACTCTTCCTTCCTCGCAAACAGTTTTACAAGGGACACATGTATGTACCATAGCATCACAAAGCACGCCTTCCTCTCCTTGCTAGAGTTTCTGATCAACTACGCAGTGAGGGGTTAACCCTTAAACGGTCCAAACGTATATATACGTTTTTTTAACATCTGAAAGTATGTAAAAAATAAAGATCTTTTTTTGTTTTACATTTGAAAACGTGTAAAAAAAACTTTTATCTACTTTTTTTTTTTTGTTATATTTGAAAATATGTAAAAAAAAGGTAGATCTACTTTTGGAGCACTACGAATTTGAACGTCGGTCTGTTTGGACCGTTTAAGGGTTAAATGAGAGTAGTAACTCTTTTTCCATTTAGCAGGAAAATTAAGGGAAAACCTGCACCCCACTTCCTCTACAAGTTGGGATTATTATGAATTCTAGTCTATAGCTAAATAACAAGAAACCTACCCTCTTGTATTGAATACTGTTACAATGTGTAGTAAGGAAGAGATATAAAGCTGAACTCAGCAGTTCTTTTGTTCGGATGATGAACTGGTGAGAATTGAGCAGGGTAACAAGCTAGGTTGAATTCAGACATGAGAACGTGAACACATCACAAATCTCCCTCTGAGAACAAAGAAAATGATGACTTTGTGTGGTAAACCCTGAAATACTGTCAATCTCCACTAGGAAAACTAGTGTTAAAAAGAAACATGAGTGTATAATCCATGGTATAATCCCGATAAAGTGTAAAAGTTTGTGTTGCGGTATGCATTCATGTGTTATGAATGAAGGGACAAGATATCACCCTATCATGTAACGAATGACCAAAGTGATTCCCTATTAATGAGTGAGGACAATATAACTATGCATCTGTAGCAGCCTACTCAAGACAACAATACCAGGGTTACACCTCCCCTACAACAAACTAGGGGAAACTGGGTCAGTTACAATACCCAGGTAAGTCCAGCCATACCCACATCTTCTTATGCTAGCTGCAGCTAATAAGTAAAGATGAGATTTGACCAGAATTACTAATAGATCCTGTGATGCGAGGGTAATTCACCCAAAACCAAGTGAGTATCACTACGCATTTCAGATATTAGTGAAATGCTGAGATATACACTCCTTCGGGCAAATTGTATGAATAACTCACTTGTTAATCAACACCCCCTATGGAAACTGAGACGGCACCCCGAAGGGATTTCCAGGGAGCAGCTGCTAGAAATCGTGCTGTTAAAAGATAAGTAACATTTGTCCTATGGTTATTAGCATGCAGGAAAGTGTACTTATCTAACCAGCTCTCCACATATCTAGAAAAAAAAAAAGGTTTCAGTACAGTGGACCCCCAGTTAACGATATTTTTTAACTCCATAAGTATGTTCAGGTGCCAGTACTGACCGAATTTATTCCCATAAGGAATATTGTGAAGTAGATTAGTCCATTTCAGACCCCCAAACATACACGTACAAACACACTTACATAAATACACTTACATAATTGGTCGCATTCGGAGGTAATCGTTATGCGGGGGTCCACTGTATTTAGACAGAAATTTATTTCTCGTCAGATATCTCGATTTAGACCCTTCTTTCAAGTAGTATAAATGCAGAATTGATTTTCCTATTTAAATCTTAGGATTATTATTATTATTATTATTATTATTATTATTATTATTATTATTATTATTATATCCATGGGAAAACTGAAAATGTAAAGGTTACAGAGCACCTTAGTACTGTGTGGTACAGTAATAGAAAGACTCTTGGAACTCATCAAAGGTAAGGTAAGATATACAACACCTGGGTATTTTTATTACAAACATTTTGCCAGCCACTGATTACCTTGTCTTATTATCTCCACTTTCAGTGTACCTTCACATACCCTGTGCATTGAATTGATCAAGCCACTGGCTTGCAAAAAGTCTTCATAATAAAAATAACCAGGTTTTTCATGTGTCTTATTCATCACCTTAGTACTGTAGTATAATATACTTTTCACACATGAAATTTTTAATGAAAATTCTTTAGGTCCTCTTTTGATAAGAGAACAAACTAAATTTATTATTTTCACTTCTTTAGTAACAGTGTTTGAACATCATGTTGCAGTTCTATGCAAGAGACAGCTGGCAGAGTACATTTTTTGGAGCTATGGCAAGCGGATTGGTTATAGCAAGCTGTATGAGTCCTTTTGATGTTATCGCTACAAGAATATACAACCAAGGTAATAGGTATAGCACTTTTCTCCTATACTTATTTTGTAAAATGCTGTACAATAAATTCTTGATATAGTGGACTATTGAAGAGATTGTTAGTTAAGTCAGAATAATGTTAAGAAATAGCAGAGAAGAACTACATTACTCTACTGTAAACCTAATATAGAAATGTACACACAGTTTACAGTTATATTACAACGAACGTTGAAAATACCCAGCGGATTTTGTCCATTATTTCAGAAGTCTGTCATATTGAGGGTTTACTGATTATCACATTAATTATTGTGATAGTTTATCGTTTTTAAGAGGTTATTCTCAAGTACATTAGTAAGAGTGTATATCTCTCCTGGCTGCTACACACTAGTTGCAGCCAGGAGAAAGGCAGGGCCAGGAGCTGAGACTCAACCCCTGCAATCATAAATAGCTGAGTGCAAATAGGCAGGTGCACCTGTGTGCCTACATCCCTCTTACTACACACCTATTACTACATGCATTACTACACACCTGTAACAAAGGAAGTCTCACCAGTGTTAGTAATTTTTAAATTATGGCCTCTCCTCACTTAGCGACATACATACATGTTTACCGATGACTCGGACTTATGACAGGCTCTCTGACCAGTATGCATACCTAAAAAATGTATATTAAAGCTGATTTCCTTTATTCTGTTTATTACAATATTTTTTTTTTTTTTTTTCAACAAGTCGGCCGTCTCCCACCGAGGCAGGGTGACCCAAAAAAAGAAAATCCCCAAAAAGAAAATACTTTCATCATCATTCAACACTTTCACCACACTCACACATTATCACTGCTTTTGCAGAGGTGCTGAGAATACAACAGCTTAGAAGCATATACGTATAAAGATACACAACATATCCCTCCAAACTGCCAATATCCCAAACCCCTCCTTTAAAGTGCAGGCATTGTACTTCCCATTTCCAGGACTCAAGGACTATATGAAAATAACCGGTTTTTCCCTGAATCCCTTCACTAATATTACCCTGCTCACACTCCAACAGATCGTCAGGCCCCAAGATCATTCGTCCCCATTCACTCCTACTAACACCTCATGCACGCTTGCTGAAGTCCAACCCCCTTGCCCAAAAAAACTCCTTTACCCCCTCTTTCCAAACCCTTTCGAGGACGACCCCTACCCCTCCTCCTTCCCTATAGATTTATATGCTTTCCATGTCATTCTACTTTGGATCCTTCTCTCTAAATGACCAAACCACCTCAACAACCCCTCTTCTGCCCTCTGACTAATGCTTTTTAAACTCCACACCTCCTAATTTCCACACCCAAATTTTTCTGCATAATATTTACACCCCCACTTTGCCCTTAGACAGGACATCTCCACTGCCTCCAACCATCTCCTCGCTGCTGCTTTTACCACCCAAGCTTCACATCCATATAAGAGTGTTGGTACTACTATACTTTCATACATTCCCTTCTTTGCCTCCATAGATAACGTTTTTTGACTCCACATATACCTCAACGCACCACTCACCTTTTTCCCTCATCAATCTATGATTAACCTCATCCTTCATAAATCCATCCGCCGACACTTCAACTCCCAAGTATCTGAAAACATCACTTCTTCCATACTCCTTCCCCCCAAATTTTGATATCCAATTTTTCTCTGTCTAAATCATTTGATACCCTCATCACCTTACTCTTTTCTATGTTCACTTTACAACTTTCTACCTTTACACACATTCTCAAACTCATCCACTAACCTTTGCAATTTTTCTTTAGAATCTCCCATAAGCACAGTATTATCAGCAAAAAGTAACGTGTCAATTTCCCCATTTTGAATTTGATTCCCCATAATTTAATCCCACCCCTCTCCCCGAACCCCCTAAGCATTTACTTCTTTTACAACCCCATCTAAAAATATATTAAACAACCATGGTGAATTACACATCCCGTCTAAGACCTACTTTTACTGGAAGTATTCTCCCTCTCTTCTACATACCCAACCTGAGCCTCACTATCCTCATAAAAGCTCTTTACAGCATTTAGTAACTTACCACCTATTCCATAAACTTGCAACATCTGCCACATTGCTCCTCATCCACTCTATCATATGCCTTTTCTAAATCCATAAATGCAATAAAAATTTCCCTACCTTATCTAAATACTGTTCACATATATGCTTCAAGGTAAACTTTTGATCTACACATCCCCCTACCCACTCTGAAGCCTCCTTGCTCATCCGCAATTCTCATTCTGTCTTACCTCTAATTCTTTCAATTATAACCCTACCGTATATTTTTCCTGGTATACTCATAAACTTATTCCTCTATAATTTTTACAATCTCTTTTGTCCCCTTTCCCTTTATATAAAGGGACTATACATGCTCTCCGCCAACCCCAGGTACCTTCCCTCTTTCATACATTTATTAAACAAAAGTACCAACCACTCCAACACTATATCCCCCCCCTGCTTTTAACATTTCTGTCATGATCCCATCAGTTCCAGCTGCTTTACCCCCTTTCATTCTACGTATTGCCTCACGTACCTCCACCACACTTACATTCTGCTCTTCTTCACTCCTAAAAGATGGTATACCTCCCTGGCCAGTGCATGAAATAACCGCCTCCCTTTCTTCCTCAACATTTAAAAGTTCCTCAAAATATTCTCGCCATCTACCAATACTTCCCTCTCCCCATCTACTAATATACAGTACACTATTGTATAAACGTTTGAAAATATGTATACTAAAAATGTTATAAATGGTGCAAAGGTGACATTAAAGAATATCAAAGATGGCTAACACAAACACACTACCATTATAGTATGTTTCTTGCTTAGCAACGAATTCGTTTACCAACATGGTCTTAGGAATGGAACTCCATCGTTAAGTGAGGAGAGGCTGTACGTGTGCATTTTTTAATATAACATTGTTTTACACCCATATATTTTGTGTTGAAGTTTTACATTCAATCTTGTAATAATTTTAAGATAAAGATAAAGAGTATATTTCTTTGCAAAGGTTACAATGTGTAATTACAATTTTGGTTTGCTAAATACAAAGAAAGCCACTATCATGCTGGGGCATTTTGGGCAGACTAATCCTAGTACATAGTAACTACTTAAATCTAGACACGATAAGAATGGTTAACTTGTATTAAAATCTTTATTTAACCTTAATACTAATGTGAGGTAGTCAAGGTAGAGGTTTATAAGAATAATAATCTTGAAGTTACACATAATAAAAACAATATTACAAATAATGGTTCAAACAGTAATATTTCATGGATTGGCAGATGTTTAATAGACTAGGGGTCATATAATATAATATTTGGGAGAGTTGCTTCAAACTGATTAGAAGTTGTTTTGGTTGGTTTGGTGAGTATTGAGATTTGAGATGATTTTTTAAGCAAAGTCCTAAATTTATAAGTACACCTACCATCCGACTTATGACCTGCTCGACATACAACCACTCGACTTACGACCCTGTTTTGTATGCCAAATTTCTGGGAATTAAACAACTGTTTGTGTTGTACACAGTGTTTATCCTAAACCTTACAGTATAAAATACAGTACTAACAGCATAAAAAGTAAAGTAAAAAATTAAACACCAAAATAAAACAATAAAATAAAATCATTACAAAAATGTGATGTTGATATTCAGTTGTAAGGTTCGACTTATGTCCATTATGACTTAAGACCATTTGGTCGGAATCAAGCTCGGTCATAAGTCGGATGGTAGGTGTAGTCAGGGGATCCTTTACCGGTTCAGGTAGTGAATCCCAGATCTTCGGACCCTCATGTGCTTTGCATTTTACATAGTGTGAGTGTACGAGGGATGTCAAAGGTGCCTTTGCCTTGTGTTTTGAAAGTGTGTTTCTTTGCACTGTAAGGGAATTTAAAATGAGGGTTTATATTGGGGTTTAATGTTTGATATGATAGACACAAAAATATGAGTGTATTCTCATATATTTAGCAAGTTCAGGCTTCTGAAAAATTTGGGGGGGTGTGTTTTTTTAGCACAGGAGGGTAAAACATCTGCACAGCAGGTTTTTTTTGGTTATTAAGGTTTTAGATGGTTTGGCTTTTGGGGATCCCCGGGCCCAAAAACCGTAGGTGGTATATATATTAAAGAGTGGTACAGTGGGGAAATCAAAAGAATTTTTCAGTCCAGAAGGTGTTTGAGGCCTTTACTGAATGAATTTATTCCATCAGGGAAAATTTAAATTTAATTTGTCCATTTCGACCCCAAAAATAACTTAAAAAAAGCACTTACAAAAAAAACATTAATAAATTTGGGTGTTGGAGCAGTTCGATTTTTGAGTTCCCCTGTATAAAGGGAAGGGGTGCATTTGGGGTACATAGAACGTATCTTGGGAAAGGATCCTACGATTTTAAAATTTTTTTTGGGGAATGGGGATGTGGGGAAAGAAAAATTTAAAATCAGTCAAGGAGAAACCAAGAAATTTACCCTCATGTGTCTTGTAATAGGGGAACCATTTATTGATATATTAAGTTGGATTTTTAAGGCTCTGTTTCCAAACAGCATGAAGTATGTTTTGTTTATACATGTATTGAGAGTGAGTTTGTTGGTCATCATCCAAGTACATGTATATATTTTAGCAGTTCGTTGTTTACAGTATCTCTGAGTATAGCTGGGTTTGAGTGGCCGTGGATATAAGTACAGCCTTTCTTCACTTAACGCCAGAGTTCCGTTCCTAAGACCACGTCGTTAAATGAATTCGTCACTAAGTGAGGAGCATACTATAATGGTAGTGGGTTTGTGTCAACCATCTTTGATGTTGTTTTAATGTCACCTTTGCACCATTTATAACATTTCTGGTATATTTTTAAATGCTTATACAGTAGTGTACTGTATATTGAAATAAAGGGAATAGAGGAAATCAGCTCTAATATACATTATTTAGGTATGAATACTGGTCAGAGAGCCCGTCATAAGTCCAAGGCATCGGTAAACGAGTACGTCGCTATTGAGGAGAGGCTGTAGTGTCATCTGCAAATAGAACTGGTTTAACCCTTTGACTGTTTTGGTTGTACGTATATATACGTCTAACAAGGTACCGTGTCTGACGTATATATACTCATAAATTCTAGCGGCTTCAGATCAAGCAGGAGAAAGCTGGTAGGCCCACATGTGAGAGAATGGGTCTGTGTAGTCAGTGTGCACCCTATAAAAAAAATCCTGGAGCACGCAGTGCATAATGGGAAAAAAACTCCGACCATTTTTTTTAATTAAAATGCCGACTTTGTGGTCTATTTTTGTATAGTATTTATGGTTGTATTCTTGTTTTCTTGGTCTCATTTGATAGAATGGAAAACATATTATATAAGTAGAGGTGATTTTGATTGGTATTACTATAAAAAGAACCTGGAAATGGAGCTCAAATTAGGGGAAATGTTTGATTTTTGCTGATGTTCAAAAGTAAACAACTGATGTCATTGTCCAATAAATGTCCAACTAGCCATTCTAATATGCAGTCATGAATTGGTTGACATTATTTGTACAATTATTACAGTATTGCAGTAGTCTACATAACAGTAAATCTTTTATTTTTTGTTTGAATAAAAATTCAAAATAGAAAGCAAGAGTAATATCAGAGGGGCCTGGAAAGCAAGAGTAATATCAGAGGGGCCTGGAGATGTGACTGATGAACAAAGAAAATGTTATTTTAGAGCCAGGAATGTCTGCATTGTTCATTCTGGACCTTATTTTGAAATTGTCATATTTTTTAATTTTTGTGAAATTGGCCAAATTGCAAATTTCTGACCACGTTATTGAGTAGTTGAAATCGGTAAATGGGCAGTTTCTTGTACTCAATCGATAGAAAAATGGAGTTCTAAAGAAATAGCTATGAGTTTGGACGACTGGAACAATGGAATTAGCCGAAAATAGGGCTCGAAGTGGGCGAAATCGCCGATTTGTAAATATCGCCAAGGTCGCTAACTTTATGAGAGCGTAATTCCGTCAGTTTTCCATCAAATTTCGTTTTTTTTTTGTGTCATTACAATCAGGAAAAGATTCTCTATCATTTCTTAAGATTTTTTTTTTTTTTTTTTTTTTTTTAAATTTTGCGACACCAGGAGACATCTCAGGATTGGGGGTTGTGACAGTCAAGGGGTTAAGGAGTTGAGATGCATTGGGGAGATTATTGATGTAGATGAAAAAGAGGAGTGGGCCTAGGACACTACCCTGGGGCACTCCAACAGCTACAGGCTGGATAGTGGAGTTGACTCCATTTTCGTATACATACTGATGCCTATTGTAAAGAAAGATTTTAGTTAATAACTCCATATGTTGTATTAGTTTTTTAAACTACAACATTATAATTTTTTCAGGTCTGGATACTCAAGGACGTGGATTGTTATATAAAGGCATAACCGACTGCATATTGAAAACTTTGAAAACTGAAGGTGTCTGGGGCTTCTACAAGGGTTGGACTGCTATATACCTTAGGATTGGCCCTCACAGCTTCCTTAACTTAATATTTTGGGATCTCCTTCAAAGCCTCTATATAAATGTAAGCAAATTACTGTGCAATGTACTAGCAATTTACAATTCAAGTCACATGCACCTTTGTCATGGTCATAAGAATAAAGGAATGGTATCTAGTATTAATACTAGCCAACAAATTTTAACTTTTTATGTAGTTCAGAAACAATACTATTAAATATTTTTCCAGGTTTATGAAATTTAATAAGTAGGAAGCTTTGTTTTACTGTACATATTTAACATACTCCATGAGGAAGTGGAAAAGAATCTTTCCTCCATAAGCCATATGCATCATAGGAGATGACTAAAATGATGGGAGGAAGCGGCTGGTACCCACTTCTCCTGTATAAATTACTAAACGGAGAGCATGTATAGTCCCTTTATATAAAGGGAAAGGGGACAAAAGAGATTGTAAAAATTATAGAGGAATAAGTTTACCGAGTATACCAGGAAAAGTATACGGTAGGGTTATAATTGAAAGAATTAGAGGTAAGACAGAATGTAGGATTGCGGATGAGCAGGGAGGCTTCAGAGTGGGTAGGGGATGTGTAGATCAAGTGTTTACATTGAAGCATATATGTGAACAGTATTTAGATAAAGGTAGGGAAGTTTTTATTGCATTTATGGATTTAGAAAAGGCATATGATAGAGTGGATAGAGGAGCAATGTGGCAGATGTTGCAAGTATATGGAATAGGTGGTAAGTTACTAAATGCTGTTAAGAGTTTTTATGAGGATAGTGAGGCTCAGGTTAGGGTGTGTAGAAGAGAGGGAGACTACTTCCTGGTAAAAGTAGGTCTTAGACAGGATGTGTAATGTCACCATGGTTGTTTAATATATTTATAGATGGGGTTGTAAAGGAAGTAAATGCTAGGGTGTTCGGGAGAGGGGTGGATTAAATTTTGGGGAATCAAATTCAAAATGGGAATTGACACAGTTACTTTTTGGTGATGATACTGTACTTATGGGAGATTCTAAAGAAAAACTGCAAAGGTTAGTGGATGAGTTTGAGAATGTGTGTAAAGGTAGAAAGTTGAAAGTGAACATAGAAAAGAGTAAGGTGATGAGGGTATCAAATGATTTAGATAAAGAAAAATTGGATATCAAATTGGGGAGGTGGAGTATGGAAGAAGTGAATGTTTTAGATATTGGAGATGCATGTCGGCGGAGGATTATGAAGTGAGTTAATCAAGTATATGGATGGGGTAAAAGTTAAAGTGGTTGAGTATTTTTGAGGATAGTGCTCAGGTTGTTGTAGAAAGAGAACCTGCCTGATCAACCGAGTGGTGCTTGGCAGGAAGGTAAATGTACACCATGGTTCGTTTTTAATTTATAATGGGTTGTAAAGGATAAATGCCCTGTTCCGGGAATGTGTGGATTAAATTTTGGAAACAAATTCAAAGGAATTGACAATTACTTTTTGGTGATGATACTGTACTTATGGAAAATCAAAGAAAAACTGAAAAGGGTATAGATGAAGTTTAGAGAATGTGTGTAAAGTAGAAAGTTGAAAGTGAACATAGAAAGAGTAAGGTGATGAAGGTATCAAATGATTTAGATAAGAAAAATGGATATCAAAATTGGGGAGAGGAGTATGGAAGAATGAATGTTTTCAGATACAATTGCGGTTTGACGTGTCGGCGGATGGATTTATGAAGGGATAGTATCATAGAATTGATGAGGGAAAAACGGTGAGTGGTGCATTGAGGTATATGTGGAGTCAAAAAACGTTATCTATGGAGGCAAAGAAGGGAATGTATGAAAGTATAGTAGTACCAACACTCTTATATGGATGTGAAGCTTGGGTGGTAAATGCAGCAGCGAGGAGACGGTTGGAGGCAGTGGAGATGTCCTGTCTAAGGGCAATGTGTGGTGTAAATATTATGCAGAAAATTCGGAGTGTGGAAATTAGGAGAAGGTGTGGTGTTAATAAAAGCATTAGTCAGATTTGCAGAAGAGGGGTTGTTGAGGTGGTTTGGTCATTTAGAGAGAATGGATCAAAGTAGAATGACATGGAAAGCATATAAATCTATAGGGGAAGGAAGGAGGGGTAGGGGTCATCCTCAAAAGGGTTGGAAAGAGGGGGTAAAGGAGGTTTTGTGGGCGAGGGGCTTGGACTTCCAGCAAGCGTGCATGAGCGTGTTAGATAGGAGTGAATGGAGACGAATGATACGTGGGACCTGACGAGCTGTTGGAGTGTGAGCAGGGTAATATTTAGTGAAGGGATTCAGGGAAACCGGTTATTTTCATATAGTCGGACTTGGGTCCTGGAAATGGGAAGTACAGTGCCTGCACTTTAAAGGAGGGATTTGGGATATTGGCAGTTTGGAGGGATATGTTGTGTATCTTTATACGTATATGCTTCTAAACTGTTGTATTCTGAGCACCTCTGCAAAAACAGTGATAATGTGTGAGTGTGGTGAAAGTGTTGAATGATGATGAAAGTATTTTCTTTTTGGGGATTTTCTTTCTTTTTTGGGTCACCCTGCCTTGGTGGGAGACGGCCGACTTGTTGGAAAAAAAAAAAAGATTTATATTTCATTTTTTTCAGGCCATCCTTCCTGGGTGGGAGACTGCCTGTTGGGCATGTTAATGGCTAGGGCACCATTCATCAGGTCCATTTTTCTGCTCTGTGGTGGCCTGGTGCCTAAAGCTCTCACTTCACATGGCGAGGGTCTGGGTTTGATTCCCAGCCAGGGTAGAAACATTGGGCATGTTTCTTTACACCTGTTGTCTATGTTCACCCATCAGTGAAATGGGTACCTGGGTTTAGTTGACTGGTGTGGGTCACATCCTGAGACACTGACCTAATTTGCCCGAAATGCTTAGCATAACAAGGGGCTTTCTCTATAGTAGTATGTCATTGATGTCAGCTAGGCCTGTATACCTTGTACATGAATCTGTAGTAAATAAAGATATTATTATTATTATTATATTATAGTTTTGGTGGGAAGGTGGCTGCTCAGTCAGGTAGGGGATTTAGCTGTCCTGCTCTGCTGGGGTAAGCAAATGGACTCATCTGACCTATTTGGGAATTTTGTTCCATTTCTATTGGAAAAAGGAACTCTGTTTTCCTTTTTCTTTCATCACTCAGCTTTGGACAATATGTCTTCCCAGTACACCAGAAAGCAGAGCTTGTGGGTGCTAGTGGCTCAGTTGGTAGCATCCTAAATTCACACTGAGGGACTGATGATAACTCCCTGCCACAGGTGACATGTTGGACATGTTTCCTTACATCAAGCAGTAAAGAGCTACATGGGTGTTAGTTGACTGTTGTGGGTTTCATCCTGGGGAAAAGATTAAAGGAGTCCAGTAGCAAAAGGACTGACAGCTCCTGATGAAGCACAGACTTTATTGGGTTATCCTGAGTGACTAACCTTCTGGGATAAAAATCTGAACAAAATTTTATCTTTTCCTACCACAAAAGCTGTCAGTAGCCCTTAACACCCTGACAAGATGATGTAATGTAGATGGTTTATATTATCATCTGGTCATGTTTTCTTTACCAGCCTTAAATTATGCCTCAAGTGAACTTGAAAATTACTTCTTCAAAACTGAGAGAGTATATTTTTATTACAAGCTTTTCATTTATTTTAATACGCTTATTTTCTATTGTAAATTTTTTGATATTTTTTCCAGTTTTAGCAATTCTCATTACAATGTCTTTTATTGTAACACTTTCTCCAATTTGCAACTCATACCAATTTACTAATTGGTGAAATGACAGTAGTTTGTTGGATTATGTATTGGTAGATAAAAGACTGTTGAGTAGACTTCAGGATGTACATGTTTATAGAGGGGCCACAGATATATCAGATCACTTTCTAGTTGTAGCTACACTGAGAGTAAAAGGTAGATGGGATACAAGGAGAATAGAAGCATCAGGGAAGAGAGAGGTGAAGGTTTATAAACTAAAAGAGGAGACAGTTAGGGTAAGATATAAACAGCTATTGGAGGATAGATGGGCTAATGAGAGCATAGGCAATGGGGTCGAAGAGGTATGGGGTAGGTTTAAAAATGTAGCGTTAGAGTGTTCAGCAGAAGTTTGTGGTTACAGGAAAGTGGGTGTGGGAGGGAAGAGGAGCGATTGGTGGAATGATGATGTAAAGAGAGTAGTAAGGAGAGAAAAAGTTAGCATATGAGAAGTTTTTACAAAGTAGAAGTGATGCAAGGAGGGAAGAGTATATGGAGAAAAAGAGAGAGGTTAAGAGAGTGGTGAAGCAATGTAAAAAGAGAGCAAATGAGAGAGTGGGTGAGATGTTACCAACAAATTTTGTTGAAAATAAGAAAAAGTTTTGAGTGAGATTAACAAGTTAAGGAAGCCTAGAGAACAAATGGATTTGTCAGTTAAAAATAGGAGAGGAGAGTTATTAAATGGAGAGTTAGAGGTATTGGGAAGAGGGTAAGGTACCTAGGGATTGGCAGAGAACATGCATAGTTCCTTTGTATTAAGGCAAAGGGGACAAAAGAGAGTGCAAAAATTATAGGGGGATAAGTCTGTTGAGTATACCTGGTAAAGTGTATGGTAGAGTTATTATTGAAAGAATTAAGAATAAGATGGAGAATAGGATAGCAGATGAACAAGGAGGCTTTAGGAAAGGTAGGGGGTGTGTGGACCAGGTGTTTACAGTGAAACATATAAGTGAACAGTATTTAGATAAGGCTAAAGAGGTCTTTGTGGCATTTATGGATTTGGAAAAGGCATATGACAGGGTGGATAGGGGGGCAATGTGGCAGATGTTGCAGGTGTATGGCGTAGGAGGTGGGTTACTGATAGCAGTGAAGAGTTTTTACGAGGATAGTGAGGCTCAAGTTAGAGTATGTAGGAAAGAGGGAAATTATTTCCCAGTAGAAGTAGGCCTTAGACAAGGATGTGTGATGTCACCGTGGTCGTTTAATATATTTATAGATGGGGCTGTAAGAGAAGTAAATGTGAGGGTCTTGACAAGAGGAGTGGAGTTAAAAGATAAAGAATCACACACAAAGTGGGAGTTGTCACAGTTGCTCTTTGCTGATGACACTGTGCTCT